TAGTAATATTGATTGCAGCAATGTTAAAATAATGACCAAAAAAGGCAAAGCGGAACCAACTTTTGTACGTCATCGATAGTTTTTATGTGCTCTATATCGAATTTGTTGAGCGGCTGTAGTAAATTGTCAGAGAATTTTTCGTCGACCATCACATCCCAGAAACCGTTCAGATTCTTGGCAGTTTTCCAAAAATTCAGCTGAAATGTTAAATTTTTTTTGGAATCTCGCAATGCCACTTCTATGTCCTGAATTTTAGTGTTTTGAGACATGGATGTTTGGAAGAAATTAACAGAGGAAGGAAATGAGAGAATGAACGAAAAGAGCGAGGAGGAAAATGTATCAATTTTGTAAAAGTGTAAGCACCGTTAAAGCACCGTCAAAGGGGGAATTTGTTCGATGACATGCCATCTCTTCAGAAGAAGTCAGCTCAGAGGTGGAACTTACCAGGAAGGCATTCAACTTCCCATGGAACTTTGAATTGAGACCCAGATATATCGATAGAGCTTCAAACGCTGATTACAAATATGGAAACTAAAACTGCAAAATGAACCTGCCAAGGAAGTTGTGAGCAGTCAAAGTTGGCTGAAGTAAAGCATTACATATGAACCGTGCTAGCTTCTTCAGGGCTTTCAGAGTCGCCGTGGAGTAGTGGTAGTGCTCTCGCTCTCCAGCCGGGAGGTCGTGCATTCTCTTTCCGTTGGAGTGCAACTTTCGAGAGCACTACCACTACTCCATGGCGACTTTGAATGCCCGGACGGTACCACGATTCATATGAAACGCTTTATTTCCAGCCAACTTTACTGCTCACAACTTCCTTGGCAGTTCATTTTGCAGTTTTAGTTTCCATATTTGTAATCAGCGTTTGAAGCTCTATCGATATATGGGTCTCATTCAAAGTTCCATGGGAAGTTGAATGCCTTCCTGGTTAGTGGCCTTGGTCCCCACATTTTGCAGGCCTAACATTTAATGTTTGTGTAACGAATGTGGAAGCTACACATCTGTTTTGTAGATACTTGTGACCACTTGTGAGATAACTAATACTTGGTAAAAATGAAGCTGAGAATATGTATGGGTCACAGAAATGTAGGCAAAAAGGTCGGTGACTCTCGCGGTTACCAGAAAGTCGGCAAGATCGGAGGGATAAAATTGCTTAAACTTCGCGTAGAAAAGAATAAAGCTTTTCACAAGAAAGAATATGGAGAGAATAGATCGGGAAGGGTAAAATAATAAGAGCAGTAATCTTGGAACTAGTGGTCATTCCAGAAGAAGGCTGATTCTGGAGCAAACTTTGCAATAAATGATTGATGAAGGTTTTGAATACAGACAATTCTAGTGTGTAGCAAAGACTATCAGTGCGCTCGATTGGGTCAGAAGCTGTTTGTAAGACCCCAATTTGAAGTCCTGTGAATGATAGAACGGCAGGCAGGGAGAAAGGAAGAGCGCCAAACAATAGTGGATGGAGTGCCCACAAGTACCAGATGATGCTGTGCGGCTATCGACATGCGCCCGAGGTGTGTTTGCTGAGGGCCTTCGAAGTGCGAGATCTGATGTACGACGTTATATGAATCAGCTGGAACGAGATACTCGCGCGACACGTCGCGCGAACAACAACGATGGATTACGACGGTAGCGGAAGATAGTCGATAGGTGGAATAGGACTGAAGCATCGAGATGATGATGCGTGGTTTTAAAAAACTCGGCCCGACACGGCTTTCACTCGCTGATCAGGCTGTTACCCTACCATTTGAACTAGGGTTTTGCTTTGAGGTACATCCCACGATGGATTCAGGTGGATTAATCCTTCTGATGGGTAAGAGCAACCCGTCTTTAGCAGCTTCGTCCGTCGTCTGCGTTCACCCGTAGTGCTATCTACGATTTGTTTCTGCTTTCTTATGTAATAATGGCTTCAAGGCTCTAGTATATTTGTTCGATGTATCGCTAGAATCAAGCGATCTTGCAGGAGAGGTTCAATACTGAATGTTGGAAAAAGGTTCATCCAGTTTCTGCCTTTAAAAGGACACCCAGGCAGAAATTCGTTGGTGAACGCTTTCTTCGGTCACTGAAGGAACTAGGGGACAATCACGAATGTGGCCGTTAGCTCGTGCCGAAGGCTGTTGTCTGGCGCTCTCTCATCTGTAGTACTCTCTCGCTATCATACTCTCCCCTCCGCGCATAGTCTCTCATTCCCTTAGCACAGCCGATCAGGAAGGTGAGTGAGCCCTTAACCTAAGCGTTTTTGACGGATTCTTTTCCTTTTTTCTTTACTGCCGGCCCACTTCCCACCAGTACAACCACATTCGTGCACATGGGCCACACCAATGTGATCCTGGGGTAGGCCTTTAATCATAGTGTATTGCCTTTATTCATAGATTAGAGCGGATTATGCCAAGTTGCTTGGACGTTTTTTGAATTTGCAATTATGTGGTATTGCAGAGGCTTTAAACAAAATCGGCGGGCTGAGTATTACAGGATTTAAAGGTTGAAAGAGCCTGTATCAAGCCCTTCTAAACCTTTTCACTACTCAAGCAAAGTTCAGTTACGAGTGCAGGTGCAAGTCGCAAAGGAGCGGAGATGTAGCAGTGTCCAGATGAATGCAACCACCTTTGAATCCACGGAGCAAGAGCACAACCCAGGCAAACGATTTCTCGGTCTGTAGGATAATCTAGGGAGCTATCAAGATGCGGCATTCTCGTGCACTGTTTTCACCCGACAAGAGCGCTAAGAATGAGATGCAGCTCTCTCGCCTCATACTTTCTTGAAGTAAGCAACTGAGCCCTTTTGACGTTTCTGCTGGAGCCGTATGTTGAATGTTGGGGAGGGGATGGGGGTCCCGATGGGGTGCGACGGAGGATATTTCAACTTTGACAGAGCGAAAAGGACTAAGTCCTAAAAACGCGCCACAGTTGATGCTTACTCAGGGGAGTAGGAGAGGAGGGGGGGACCTGCCGAGAGGAGCGCAGGTAACGTCCCTCTCTCAAAGCTGTCATGGTTTACCTTGAGGTACAAACCAGCCTTTATGGTGGAGTGGCTGGAATCAAGCTGACAACATGGTCATTACTCTCCTCCTTACCGACGAGTTTGAGTTGTGGTCCGAGGACCCCCCTCCAACATTGAGCATGCGGCCAACAAAAACAACAAAAGTGGCTGGATTTGCTCGTTTATCTCTCTCCGCGCTTAGATTTAATTGCCTTGGGACCAGTCGATTACGAAAGTAAGCCCTTAACCTAAACGTTTTCGACGGATTCTTTTCTTTTTCTCTTTACTGTCAGCCCATTTTGTGCAAATACATGTTATTCGTATGCAAGAGCAATATCAATTTCACCCTGGGGCAGGCCTTTACATCCCGTTCGAAATGAGAGGATGGCCTTTGCAAAGATCCATGAAGGTGATATCGTGGTCATCAGGAGATGAAAACATTATGACTCTCAATTCACTGTATCGCAGATGAGGACGCGTTAGAGTGACCTAGTGAATCTGATCAGGGGTCACAGTCTGGTTATTCTTGAGAGAAAGAGCTCCTCGTTCCTTCACCCCTGATACGGGCAAGAGGTTTTGCTTCAGGCCCTGTAGTGTCAGTGCCTAATTTGTTGGAATAACATCAGGTTTGACCCGCGCCGTGTGTTTGTCAGGCAGATTTGATGTCCCGTCAATCATGCCTCTTCAGACATCACTCTGCGTGGTTTCCCCCGAATCCTGTTTGGCAGAAAAATTTGCCAAGCCATCCACGGTCAGGCGGTTGCAATACGGCACAAACGACGTCGGCACTCTAGCGGTCGACTTATCGTTAGTCCTAACGCTTTTAGCTAGATAACGTCAAACGTTGGGATGAGAGGAACAGCCCCTTTAGCGTTAGACGATGGAGGGTCCGCCGCTCATTCGACCTGTGCTATGTATCGTTCAAACATTTAAATATCGTGACTATGTATGCAATAATGTACCATGAGGTTGAATCGATGTTCAGCCAGGGTTCATTTTCCTTGAAGGCATTCAGCGACCAACTAGGAGCGGTTATTGCGCTTGGAAATGAATAATTCTGAGGTGGACCGAACGTGAAAGTAAAATAATGGAAACGAAAGAACCCACTGAGATTGAAGGCTTTCCTTTTACCAAAAAAGCTAAGCTAGCACGACGAGACAATGTGCACTCGCGAGAAAGTACAAGCGAGAGAGCATAGTTGGACGAGAGGTCGCAGACAACACGCGTGTTGGGCTTGGTTCAGCCACAATCGCTGGTGCTGCAAATTCACGTCCAGCTACCTCATCCATAAAAGGAATTGTTCTAACAGCGTGATCGTGGAATGTGCCTTTATTATCAGCTTATTGTTTCTAGATGGGTGATTTTCTGATCCCAGGTAAGGTCCATTGTAATAGGGCGGTGTAGGGGGATCCAGCGTCATCAACTTACCATGTTACGTTCATTCTAACGCCAGCCACAGTATTATGGAATGAAGCGCACTTTGGGTAGTTCTCCGATCTGAAATGCACTTTCATTAGCAGAATCCTGTCAGCAGAATCGATCAAAGCTTGATGTAATGTGGGGAACGTTCAAGAGATTTGTGAAGGGTTGCATCTATCTGATCGCTCCTCAGTGAACCGGTTCTTATTGAAACGCTTCAGTTGCCGGTAAAATTTTCACCTGCCTGTTTTTAAGATGAAATTGCTAGTCTCCTTAGCACCTAAAATTTGAAGAGGTTGATGGCAGTTCTCAGTGATTTTTTGATACATTCAAATGATAGGCAAAAACGTTGGCAAAACACGAGCACTGTTTTGGCGGTTGATCAAAAGGATAATGGTCAGAACAGAGGCTAGATCTATTCTAAGTCTGTATCAGTGGGCCGTGTGTCGAGGAAGTTTGACCAAACACCTTTTCCCTGAAGAGACAGCTACCACAATCCCTAACTGGAATCTCAGCTCCATCGCCAGACAGCAATCCCGTCCTCGCCTATACCCTCCCGAATTCACACTGACATGCAAAACTTAAAGGACGAATTCACGATGAAAAAGCAACCCATTTCAAATTAACCTAGGGATGGTGAGTGGTACACGAAAGAAGGAAGAACCATGAGAAACGGCCCAGAACCCGAGAAATGGTACCCCTTCCTTGCCCGTTGATTCGAGCATTGATGCGACTCTCATCGCTGTGCCCTCTTCAACACTACGCTCTCTCAGCTATCTAATCACTCGCCACGTATTGAACT